CTAAGCCTAAGCCTAAGCCTAAGCCTAAGCCTAAGCCTAAGCCTAAGCCTAAGCCTAAGCCTAAGCCTAAGCCTAAGCCTAAGCCTAAGCCTAAGCCTAAGCCTAAGCCTAAGCCTAAGCCTAAGCCTAAGCCTAAGCCTAAGCCTAAGCCTAAGCCTAAGCCTAAGCCTAAGCCTAAGCCTAAGCCTAAGCCTAAGCCTAAGCCTAAGCCTAAGCCTAAGCCTAAGCCTAAGCCTAAGCCTAAGCCTAAGCCTAAGCCTAAGCCTAAGCCTAAGCCTAAGCCTAAGCCTCTCTAAACCTGCATCTTATAACAACACTAAGCGAAAAGCAAAAAGAAGAATAGAAAAAATCATCACAATTCCTTACTTGGGCAAAAAGTTAATCGGCGTGTGCTAATTACTGGTCGTTTGTATGCGACCGGGTGGCATCCAATAGCAATCGCAAACTTCAGGTATAGTCGATGTGCCACAAGTTGAAATTTCATGGAACGACACTCCGCTGTTTCAATTTGTGCGGTAGCGCGCATCGTGCGAATTTGCCAACCTCGGCCACGCTAATTTTTTTGGTTTTAACTCTAATTTTGATCGTTTTTTAATTGTTTTATTTCTTTAAAATGTATTATAATCGTTGAAAAGGATTGCGTTGTACAAATGTAAACGGAAGAACACAGTAAATTTCATGATCATCCTCGAAAAGAGCGATAAAAAAGTGTTGTTTTGTTAAAGCCATTTTTTAATGTTTTCAATCAAAATCAAATCAAATCAAATCATTTATTTTGTTGTTTTAGTCCGATGTAATCGACTAGGCGGTGAACAAGAACTTTAAAAGCTATAACGAACAACCGCCTTTGGTGAGCTAGAAGTCCAAACGTGTAGTCGAAAGAGTTGAAAGCATGTTCTTACGGTCCTTCGTCTTGTCCTTGTGCGCGTAGTCCATCCAGTTGCGCCTTGACGAGCTCAGAATGTAGTGGATGTTGAGCTGGAGCCCGGAGACCGTGCTCTAGGTGGAAGCCTCAGAAGGAGAGCGACCACTTCGAGTGAAGATTTTACACGGAAATCGTTTTTTTCATCGTTTTTTTTCTGTTTGTCGCATTTGTTAATGGATTTTTTCAGAAAGTGAGTGGCTTATAAAATGAAGATTAAAACCAAAAACATTAGCGCGGCCGAGATTGGCAAATTCGCACAATGCGCGCTACCGCACAAATCGAAACAGCGGAGTGTCGTTCCATGAAATTTCAACTTGTGGCACATCGACTATACCTACCCGGTAGTATCCAAGTACCATAGAGATAATACACGATAGCTAATGAAAACCCCCAATTAGCATACACCGATAGACTTTGAAATTGCTATAGCTTGTTCAGATTTTGAATGTCAAGTAGAATGACGTCATTCGAAAACGCTCTGTGGATGGCTCGCTCTCTGATTGGTTTATCGCGCCATTAGGGGGCGGAGCTTCAGCGGGGACTTGACATTTGAAATCTGAACAGACCATACCCTGTACCTACCTGCAACGACATCCCGATTGACCAGGGAGGTTACTTTAAATTTCCTTGAAACAAAAAATAATAATCGAACCCTTGATATTCAAATAAAATCATTCATTTTGTTGTTTTCAATCAATCAATCAAAATCAAAATGTTTCATTTCTCACACAAAAGTTAGTTTTAGTCAGATATAATTGACAAGCGCTGGACTAGAACTTTCGAAGCTATAACTAACTACGGCCTTTGGCGAATAAGTAGTCCAAAGTGTAGTTGATCAAGTTGAAAGCATGGTCTGACAGTCCTTCGCCTCGTTCTTCGACGCGTACTCCACCCAGTTGCGCCTTGACAAGCTCAGAATGTAGCGGATCTTGTGCTAGAGCTCGGAGACCGCGCTATAGGTGATAGTCATGAGAACAACCACTTCGAAAGAAATTACCAATGTGATCTATCTGATCGCTCGAAATGTGGCCATAAAAATATCGGTTTTAATTTTGGATCAATCGAAATATTGGAAAAATGGTTTTGCAAACTCTATAGTCTGCTCAGATTTTGAATGTCAACCAGCTAAATCCGCCATTGCGGAGACGGTATAGGTCATTCCGCGCTAGCTTGTCACGTTTTTCTTTCCGCCAAAAGGCCAGGTCAAATTTAACCAACTTTCGCTTCAAGACCTTTGTTTCTTGCCGTTATGAAAGCAGACATTTGATCTAATTTGGTATACGGTTTTTTTGGCGGGAAGAAAAACGTGACACGCTGGCGCGAAATAGACTATAGCTTTTCGGGTCGATTTTTTATCGCGCGGAATGATTTTTGATCTTTTTTGTACTGGCAGATAGAAAAGGAAGTCAAAAAATGGAGCCATATTAAAGGGCCATCGTTATCTGTAGATAAAACATTGACGCGAAAGATATTGTAGCCTTGGGGGTGGAGTTAGCTGCTTGACATTCAAAATCTGAACAGACTATAGTCAAAGTGAGTAAAATGTCCCAAACGGGCAAAATAATGTGATTCGCGCCGAACTTCTTCAACGTAAATTTAAAACTCGTAAAAAGAACTTTTTTGTTGAAATAGAAATAGAAAACTTCATTAAAAAACCAAAAAAGGAATTTTGACAGGAAGGCATTCGTTGTGCGTCAAGTTTTAAGTTTCTCGCATCAATTCGAACTGCAAACAAAAAATCAACAGAAATCAGAGCTGATCATAATCGAACTTGCTGCGAAATACTTCGGGGAACGAATTGAATGGGAGCATGATTGGAGAGCTCCGATGGAGCCTTTTGAGATCCGATCCGCGAGCCGTCTTCTCCTCCTTCTGATTCTTCTTCAATTCTGCAATCACACAGACTCTAGAGAAGAAAAAGACGCAGGAAAAGAACCTGTGGAGCTGATATTTGGACATGACATCGGACTCCCCGCATAAACTTGCTTCAAATACTTGCGAAGCTGATAAAAGGTAAATAAAATTTCGATTGTCGGAAAGTTTGAAAAGATACTGGCAGCAGAAGAGACGACGTCACTGTTTATGTAGAAACTTTCGCTGAGGGATCCCGTAGAAGAATCCTGTGGAGAACTTGAGTAGCTGAGCCGCTTCGAAGGTGATCTTAAAAAGTAGTCGTGAAAAATTTTGTTCACGTAAAAGTCAAATTTATAACGAGTAGAGTGAACTTTTGCAGCAGCACGAGAATCTCGGCTTCAATTTGGAATGAACAGGCTGGCCATAATGAATAAGAAAGGCCTTTTTCTGTGTCTAAAGATGATTTTTTCTTTTGCCAATTGTTAAAACTTGAAACAGTCTGACCTTTCTGCGTTGTATTTTTTTTTCATGGACGGTGACATATAAACATAAAAATAGCGCGTACACACTAAAATAGAAAATAGAAATGCAGAGAAATCAAAACTTTCAAAGTTACGGATGGTGAAGCAGTTTATTCGCTGGTTCTACCCAGGGGACCACATTATTTCCCAACTCCAGCTGTCACGCCGGGACTTATTGGACAACGATTGTGGACCGTAACCCGCACCGACGACTAACTCTTCGATTATACCATGATTCAGCAGAGATTTTTTCTACATTTCACTCTGAAGACTGAATAAATTGTAATTATTGTAAATTGTAAAGTTACGGAAGATAGGAATTTTTAATAAACAGCACCATTCTAAGTTTTTTTGTTTTCGTTCCGTGAAATTCCAAAAATTGATACTCACTCAAAGTTGTGGTTGCTGTCACCTGTGCTTTCCACGGCGTATAGAGCACAGTTTAGAGAAGAAGGACGTTTGGCCGGCGACCCCGACGGCAACGAAGGCGGAGAGTACGCCGGCGCGGGAAGCTACAAAACTCAGTGTTCAGAAACGGAGAGAAGCATGTAACAAAGAAAAGATACCTTTCAATTGGAAATAAGATAAAGAACAGACTGAACAAAAACAGAAAGCATGAAATGAACTGGTCAACACCACAAGCCGTACAAAGAACAGTGGTAAGACTGACCATAGGGGAAAATCCAGATGACGTCGACTGAAACATAGAAAAAGTGCAATTCGAAAAAGCTTCTGAACAAATTCAACAGTCTTTTTTTCCTTGACGGACTCCAAGTTACTGATGGGCCTGTCACAAAATTACGTTTCAAAGATTTTCAAAGAGAACCAGAGCAAATTACGGGGTAAAAGTTAAAAAAAAACGTGAGTTTGATGTTTCTGAGAGCCGGTCAGAATCTTTTTCATTGTCAAATGAAGATTTGAAAATCTGAACATGTGAAACTTTCCACTTCTTAAAAAGCTCCGCTTCACCGGCTTTCGGCCGTTTTCTTTGACTTCGCCCAAATAAAAGTAGGTATCTTCGAAAATTGTGACTGGCCGACTTGCAAATTTCTACGCCAAAAATTGTTTCGTCTTTTTAGCTCGTTTGAAAATGCATTTTTCTGGGGAAACTACTTTATTTATTTTACTTATTTCTTCATTGTCCGAACCACGCAAATAATTAGGGTACAGATAGGAGGGAAATGATATAACATTGGACAGACAACAAAGCTAAAAAGGCCATATGGTGCCCTAACGAGCACCAAAACTGACTACTTTGAATAATACTCCTGCGGTTTTCTGACAGCCATACGAGGATAAGCTCGTAAGCATAATTAATCCCAAACTATCATTCAGATCGCGAAGAAATTGAGCTTCATTACTCGGTTCCTAATGCCGAGAAAAAAAAAGAGATTTAATCAGGAAACAGTCCGCATTCAATAGAATACGTTCAGTTCCACTTTACAGGTAAGAACAACTATCCTTGACTGAAAAAAAAACAAACTTCAGACCTGAAACTCGGGCATTGGTTGAGGGAGGCGGAGATTGTACGCCGAGTAGTTATTCCTCGAAGACCTCGGCTCCGAGACGGACATCGAAGTCTGGAAGCTGCGAGCTTTCATTAACCGGTATGTAACATTGTTATATCGGTGCAAAACTTAAATAACTTTTGAAAATTTCTAAAGTATTTATGTCGGAAAACAGTTTTGAAATTCCTTTATAGCTGATTCACGGCTGGCTTGAGCCATCGAGAAAAGGTCCTGCCACGAAAAGGGACGAGACAGTGCCCTGGTTGGTGGAGAGTGCAGACAGGCCACGCCTTTTTGCGTCCCAAGCTAGCCGTGAAACGTCTATATGGCCAGCTTTGTGTTATAGTCTGTTCAGTTTTTTTTTTCAAGCAGCTAACTCCGCCCCCAAGGCTACAATATCTTTCGCGTCAATGTTTTATCTACATATTCCAATGGCCCTTTAATAAGGCTGCTTTTTTGACCTCTTTTTCTATCTTTTAGATCGAAAAAGATCAAAATTAGTCCCGCGCGATGAAATATCGACGCGAAAAGGAACCGTCTCAGCAGGGACGGAGTGAGCTTCTTGACATTCAAAATCTGAACAGACTATAGGTTGTTGCGTAATTCTTGATAGTATTTTCGTTTCCTCTATTTTCTTTTTTTCTCTATAGGGAAAGGCTAACATCATTTGATGTATTCTGCATCTGCATCGACCACTTGCTGCAATCGTCCAGGCAGGCGCTCGGATCCTGAAGGACGCTGGCCGCGAGGAGAAGTATGAGGTCAACTCCAATTCGACATTATTTTCTGTTCGAATTTTCTTCTCGCATAGGTGATGCTGCAGATGAAAGAATAGATGGTTACTTTCGTTGTATGAGGTCTGTCCTTGTAATGTAGTACCACGAGCTTTGGCCTTCTGTCCCCTAGTGGATAGGAACTGATTTCTGAGCATTTTTTTTGCTAAGGAGAGTACCGCTGGTGACTGACAGTGTCGCTCACTTTTGGTGGTTCCTACCCCTCCTTGATGACCTGGAACCAGAAACAGAAGACTTGCTTTTTTCTCAAGATAAAAATTTGGTTGAGAGCCGTGGTTTGCTTCTCCTTTTCACTGTTTCACTGTTTCTTGAGAAATAGATAGCACAATCCTCCTTCTCACAAAAAAGAATGAACAGAAATCGTCTTCATTTGAAATGACAGAATAAACAAACGTTGCCTTTGACCTGTACTTTTTTCGGAAAATCGCTCAATTTGGACGTTTCGCAACGGCCAAGTTTTGAGAACTTTCAAGTAACTTTCAGACCTCGAAGACTGTGCTATCAGCTACTGCCAGTGTCTCTCTTGATTTCGCGAAAAGTAATAGAACTGCGCCTAAATTGCGGAGCGCAGGGCATCGAAATCTAACACGACCGGTTGACGCACAGGAGACTTTTCGACGAGGCAAAATCACCGTTCACGAAATTCTTGTGAAAAAACGAAAAAACTACAAAGCTAGTGTGGCTTTTGCCTGGCTTGTAGAAATCGTCTTTTATCACTGATAAATGTGATAAATTTACCTTTTTTTTCGTGAATGAAAAGGGAACAAGCATAACATAATCTGCTGCAATCCTAGCTTCAGAAAAAAGACTGCAAGAGAACTAGATCTTTTTGAAAAAACTATTAAGAATTACGCACCATTCTGATACAAATGAAAATTATCTAAAGAATAAAAAACTATCAAAAAATTCATTTACTCTATCGATAGAGATGAGGGCGTCGATTTCGTCCTCGTCGTCTTCGGGAATCGTCGCGCAGCTTTTCGTCGTTCCGCCGTCCAGTGACGTCATCCTGCTGTCTGGAGTGCCGGCTGGGTTCAGAGGGGACCTGTCTGAAATTGAATTCTCGTCGATCTCCTTTTTTTCAAAAATTATTTCCTTCAGTATCAGCTGGGGAAAATGAAGCCTGCTCCTGAAACACTAGCCACGTTTTTTCGTTGATCTGCGGTTATTTTTTGTGAATATGTAGTGAGTTTAACTTTGCACCTGCCAGTTTGAGATGGACATAAAAAACAATACTGTGGAAGTTATTTAAGGTAGATATGTTCCGTTATCATCCTGCTTCGAGGACTACGGAAAAGCCTAAAAAGTTTGTAAAGATCTGCTTCTGTAGTGAAAAAAAAAAGTGAAAATGGCGATTTTCGAATTTTTCGAATTTTGACCTCTCATACAAAATTGGAACAATGTTCACCGTAGGCGAATCGAAAAAAAGTATCACGATAAAATCGGAGGTATATCGAAGGGTCTGAAGTGTATTCCGGGACATTTAGAGAACCGAAAAATTTACCGAAAAATTCATTAATAAACGACCAACATCGAGATGTGTTGAGTGGGACGATCAAAGTACGGCCATGAATGCTGCGGCGCGGCGGAGGCGGCGAATCCGACGCTGGCGGAATGGCCAGCGGAGGGAATTGGAACCTGCGGGGCTCTTCCAGAGAGGAGGCACTCCCGTAGTTCTTCTGAACTGATTTATTCGAACTGAAGTAAACGAGGAACTCACTTTGAAGGACTGGTCTCCGCTCGAGGCAGGACTTCCGGTCAGAGGAGTCAAAACGTCGAACTCGTCGAGACGCGCATACATCCCTCCTGATGATTTCTGAGAAAAACTCGTAACCTTCAAAAGAAATAATAATAAAAAAAAACTCACGCGGCTACCCTTATTCTGCGATTTTCCCTCGTTTATCCCTCCCTTTTCGTGTGCAGCAGAACATGGCGTGCAATAACTGAAAAATCTCGAAATATTTTGAGCGATTTCTATTTCGAGAAAGGTTTTGAAAAATAAAGAGAAAAGAGTACGGTTTTTTCACAGCTAACTTGATAACTTGAAAAGAGCAACGAACATTTGGAAGTTTTGTTTTCGGAAAGAAAATGCGTTTCAATCTTCAATAAGTTTACTCTATCATCCTAATAAGGAATTCATATAGCTGATTCACGGCTGGCTTGAGCCATCGAAAAAAGGGTCCTGACACGAAAATGCACGAGACAGCGCCTGGCTCGTGGAGAGCGCAGATAGGACACGCCCCCTTAGCGTCCCAAGTTAGCCGTGAATCAGCTATATCAACAACAAAAATATTTATAGGTTGTTTTAGTCAGATGTGAACCGTAACCCGCACCGACGACTAACTCTTCGATTATACCATGATTCTTCATCTTACTCTAAAGGCTGAATAAAATTGAATTGAATTGAAATTGAATCAGTCAGATGGAATCGACTATATCAGAAAAAAAAGGATGAACTCCAAGTTTAAAGATGTCTCGATGAGAAAGCGCTTAGAAAAAGTTCAATCCTTTTAGCTTTCAAGTAATTTCATCGAGGAAATTACTGTAAAAATGCTCTTATAGATTGCCTCACTCCATAGGTTCCATTCATTTGTTTAATTGTGCTTTCTTTTTCGAAAAAATCTTTGGCGGCCCCTAAACTTATAGTCTAAAAAACTTTTGAGCAGTTTTCAGCTTTAATTATCTTTGCAACGAACTAGTCCTGCGAAAAGAGGGCGGAGTGAGAAAAAAGAAGTTATCAGCGGACAAGGAAGTCCATTTCACGTAGCCCTCTGATATTTTCCGAAAAATAAACTTGATCAGTTTGATAAATTTCATGAAACTCCTAGCCTCTAAAGCTTTCTAATTATTAAGAACGATAAATTTCAATTGAATCATTTTTTATCGTCTATCTCGTTTCTACCTCCCGAGTAGCCGGTCTTCATTTCCGCTATCGTCTCGGATTTTATCCGACGCCCGTCAGCATTGGACTGGGCACCGTACTGATCCTATATGGAGAAGCAGCTGATCTTCGGAACGCTCAAAACTCGTCTACGATCATCACAAGAAGTCTGACATTATCTATGCACCGTTCTTGATCAACGACGGTTTCGCGAACCGACGAACAATTCTTCTACATACTGTTACATGATTCAGCAAACAATATTCTCTGAAGACTGACGGGTTTGTGTAAAATGTGTATTGGCTGAACGTGCTATGAAAAAAATTTTGATAAGTTTTTCGGATCCTGATCAAGTTTGAAAAAATATTCATGCAAAATTTCGCAAAATTCAAAACAGAAAATGAAATGACCTTTTGTGAACATGGAAAAAATAGAGCATTTCTTTTATTAAGAAACTCGAAAAACTTTCGAGAGCTCGTTGACCGAAAAAAGAAAGGCAATTGAAAGCGCTACAAGATATTTTCCCACGCCTCACCTATAAACGAAGAAGTGGCAAACGTTGGTCAGAAAGGCTTTGAAACAAATTAAAACTAGGGAAGGGCCTCCAGGACGATAATAAGAAAAGAGCGCAGAATTATAGGAGCAGACCGAGTGGCGGCGCCTAAAACAGCGATTCTCCCAGGAGACTATCACTTGCCACGGACCTTCTCCACAGATATTCTCGCACGAAACAAGAAAAAAAAACAAAACTCGCTGTAAATTTTGAGCTTTTTCTCTGGCAAACCAATAAAACATTGAACGAGACAAGTTCGAAAAAAGAGGTTCTTTTGGGTACGATGGAACCCAAGATGCCGATTACTTTATCGGAAAAAAAACACTGACGCTGACAAGAAGAAAGAGAAGAAGGAGAAGCGCTGTGATGGACGAATCCCAGTAATTGGAAACCGCGTCGGTCCTCATCCTGCAACACAACCCGATCATCATCGCCTCCCATTTACTTCTTTCTAATTAATTTCAACATTGAGCTTTCCAAACAAGGGCCATTCTAATCCTTTGTAGCGTTTGTATACCTCCTAGTTTGAAAAGAGAGGCTTGAGAGAAGTTGATTTGGAAAAAAAGCCAGCCTCCTTTTCCTATTGTTTCAAAATCCCTCAAGGTCATGAGTCCGATGTTCAAAGTTCAAACTTTTGATTTTCCGTTTTGAAAATCTCCACCGCGATAAGAATTATTTGCACTTGGAAAAAAAACTGTGTTAAAAATTTTCCTACATCATTTCGTGATAATATTACTATTGATCACATCATTTGCAATAACAATTTCTCTAAAATTTGAGTTCAAAAACGAGAAAGTATTTTTCTATGAAAACCAGGAAGTTTTTGGTCAATGGGATTTTTTTAGTATGATCATCTGAAAAACCAAAAGCTCTGGCCAACTTCAAAAAAGTTTCAACAAAAAATATAAGATATAGTTTTTTTAGTTCAGAACCTTTTTCATTGAAGCAAATGCACCGAAAATTTTACGAATCGAACATGGGACCTCATGAAGAAATAAATTTATCTTTTTTCACGATTTCGCATTAAGAATTAACAAAATCGAGATCACCTCGGCAGATTAAGGCACATTCGATTTCTCGGATTTCAAAATCATCTTTCAAGTCCATAACCAAAATCTAACCTGGAACTTGCAGCTCACATTATGGGCAGGATGAGGTGGATGGCTTCTGAAAACTTGGAGCGTTTCAAAACTTGCTTTTCGATTTCAGACAAAAAATATGCGACCCATTAGCACTGGCAACGACTTTGCTTTTTCACACGCGAGTCTCAAGACTCATCAAGAGCGATTTCGAAAATTTTCCTATTGCTTCGAAATAGTTAAATCAACAGAAATTCCTTTTGTCCTTTTTTTGTGATGAAATATAATGGAATGCTTTTTGGCCGAGTTATAAGATTCCTAGAATCAAGATTCCGGAAAGTTATTTTCTTTTTTTTTACATCTAAACAAGGGTTCTATCCAGAGAACGGCTAGAAATATCTCCATACTTCTACACTCAATTTAACCAGCAAGACAAACATTTCAGGAGCTCTTGAAAAAGTCAGTTATCATTTGTTTGCAAAAGAAAAAGTGAAAAGCGGAGATTTGTTGACACAAGTCGTAGGTGAGAAGAATCAGCTGAGGAGCAAGGCTGAAACGGCCGCAAATGAGGCCGAGGCGGTAACCCAATGAGCTCTCAATCGAGCCCATTCTTCGGCTCCGTCCCAAAACTCACTTGTTTCAAGGCTTTATTATGAATTCCTCGGCTTCTCATGGTTTTGTTGTTTTGTTGTCTCATTCGGTTCGCGGCGCGCTTTATGATTTGAAAAACTTCGGCTAATGCAATACTTTCAAAGATTTTTCTAAAAAAAAGATCTTCATGAGAAATGTGACGTGAACACTTAACTCTGAAAAATTAACTTATTTTCCATTAAAATGAAGTTTTAAAACAGTAAAAAAAATTTTTAATTGTGAGAATTTTTTTCCTAAATTTCTTTTTAGTCGATAATGAGATATATTGCGAAGGACCATCGTGGAACATATGAAAAAAAGAAAACAGCAACTTTAATAAGTTAGAAGCGTGAGCGCTACCCTTGGCCGAAAGTAAAGGAATATTTAATTGATTCTTACCAGAAAAAATTCATGAAAACGGACGAATAGTGCTCGGAGGAAGGAAGATGCATGCATGTGTATTTGATGGAAATGTAGTAGAAGCTTGACCCACGAGGGAATTCTCAGAGAACAAACGTCTTTTTATCTCGGTTTAATATCGCTCCAATGGAAGCTCCGCTCTCAATACTCGTCCAATATCAATAAGAGACAAATTGGATTGAAGTAGTACTTTTCAAACGAAAAACGACATAAGCGACGGGTGGGGTTTCCGTGTAACAATGAGCTTCTTTTCGTCAAATTGTTATAAATCGAAAATCTTGGTCCTAAAAAAACACTTAGAAAAAGAAGCACAAGCTTTGGTCCTGGTAAACTACTATTTTTAAGAAGACACTTATAGGAAATGATAAACGTTTATGCAATTCGCTTTCTGTCTTTATGAGTTTTAACCATTTTCAAAAACATCCTTGGTAGCTTCGTAACGACTTACTCAAATGATTACCAAATTTTCCCAGAGTTAACCCTATAGTTATAACCCATAGTGCTATTTTACTACGGCTACAACTGAAATCTGCACAACTTTTTCATTCCCAGATAATTTGAAAACTCCGAACAGAGGAATAACGGATAAATGTTTTCATATACACGCAAATAGTTCAAATACCCATATGATGGAAAATGGATTTCAGTACATCAAATTTTGGGGAAGGATCTGGGAGTAGAGAAGTCCAAGAAAAAAAAGATGTCGAAAATTTAGGAAAGGGATAGCCAAACGGACACGTGTGAGAAAGATCTTGAAAGGCGAATGAATGAAGTTGCGCGGTAACTCGGAAGAACAGCGAGAAAAAGCGATCGAAATAACGTTAAAAAAATGTGAATCATACTGAATTTTAGAAAAATTTCTACACGAATGAAGATATTTCACGCAAGATCTCTCTTCAAGGATGTGATAAGAGCTCGATTTCTCATTCAAACAAAGAGAAAAATCAGAAATCTGATGAAAGATTAGAGAAAAAAAAATACCTGCTTAGTGAACATTCAATGAGCTGGACAAGGTTAAAGCAAGGAAGAATGATCTTGACGTGGCCTGCGCTAGACAGACTTTTCGTGGGAGCTTTTCAATGCAAAAAAGAATTCAGCCGCGCGCCGATCGTTCTTGCGGCCGGAGGTCGTTCAGATCTCTCCTCATCACTTCTGCCACGGCCTCGTAGACGACGCGGGACGAGTCTCCGGATAATGTAAGAACTTTGTTGTTTTTCCTGCAAAACAAGTTTTCGAAATCGATTTTACTCAATCAAAAGACTTGTGAACAGGAATATCACAAAAAGCTTTTCAAATATTTTTTTTTTTGATTTTCCAACTTTTGAAGTCTTTTTGCTTACATGTCTTATACAGGAACGATTCTGAACAATCAGGTACTTCATGAATTTCCGACATTCTGTAAGAAAAACATTCGCGTGCACTCGAACTAAGAAATTCAGTTCTACTCGAATTTAAACAACAATATATTAATTGGAACTAGTATTATAAACAAACAATGTCTCTAATAGGGTTCAAACCAATATTAATGTAAAAAAATAGGCGTTTTTTTGGGTTCTGAAAAAGTACCTTGAACACCAAAACAGTTGCCTTTTAGAAACGAAGTTCTCTGTTTAATGGTAGACCTCCCCCAATATTGTGGACTCTACCGCAGCGAGAATTATGCTATACCGCGGGGGAGCCGCGAGCAAAATCGCTCGCCTCTCGCTGCGACCTCGCAAACGTCTTGCGCTATATCGCTCTTCGAAAAATTTTTCTTCAAAAATGTTTTTTCTTTAACTTAATTCATTTCATTAAGTATATGGCAGCGAGTCTTTGACGATGTCGCAGCATGAAGCATTGGCTATGTCGCCTGCGGCCCGCTGCGATATAGGCAATTATGTTGGGTTTCACCAATGGTCAATCAACAAAAACATGTTTCTTTTGGAAAATCGCCCAACACGGAAGTAAATCAATAATTGAAAAAGAAACTTTCGAAAACGTCACGCCGAGAGTACACAAAATGTTTTTCTGGCCGAGAGAAAAGACAAAAACAGAAAGTTGGAAACTGACTTGTAGTGCTCGACAACTTTGGACTCGGTCTTGTCGTAGACTTCGAATCTCCGCCGAGCCACCTCCAATTCATCGGTGCTTCGTTTGAAGAGCGGCTCTCCTGTCACGTCGTCCTTCCCCTTAACATGATCATCTTGGATATTCTCTAAAAAACTCAATATATTCAAAAAACTTTTCGATGTAACTTGGGAATGTTTTTAATTCAGTAAACACCAGCTCGAAAACACTAAACATTTTTCTACAGACTTCCGATAAAAATATCAACTTTTCATCCAAAACTAAAATCATCTTGCTATCAAAAATCTTGAAAAATTGGGCGCAAGCTCTTTTTGAGCCGCAAACAGTGTATTTCTATTATGAAGAGGTTTTGTGAACTGCGGTTACCAACTAGACCGAAGTGCATTATCAACTGAATGACAGTGCGAAATTTAGCTCCGAAAAATTAATCTGAGATCAACCGAAAGCTCGATGAATGCAGGTATTTACTAACCTATCAAAATATAAAGAACAAAAACTCATCAACTCCCAGCGAAAGACAAAGAAAACTGACTTCTTCCTTTGGTGGATTCACTTCAACGTTGTAAGTACGTCCTGACGCTGGGTGAACCAACTGCTTTGAGAGGCGGTCCACAAGAACCTTATGTGGGACCTAGAAAACTTGATTCTAAAAATAAATCAGAAAGGATGAAGTTTAAAAAATGTATCAGGATCGAAAAAAAGAGACTAACCTTCATTTCAACGACAAGATTCAAAGGAACAGCTTCCTCGACTATTTTCACTTGGTTCATATTGCGCGGAAAACCTTAAACATTTTAGATACTTAAAACTTCGCAGTCTTTAAAGAAATTTGGCTATGGTTAGATATCTAAAGCAATATTGCTTCGAAACAATCTTTTTGCTGTTTTGTAGGCTTTTTCAATTTTTTGTTTTACATAAGTATTTATTTTTAACAATAATCCTTATCATTTGTTTCTTTAATGATAGTTTTCTCTGAACAGCCTTAAATAATGCATTTCGAAAACTCACCGTCTAAAATCATTCTCGGTCCACGCTTGAGCAACTCTGTGAGAAGCATTCCATTCAACAGATTATCCGGCACATGTTCCCCTTTGTTGAAAAATGACGAGGCACGAAGACCAAATTCTGCATGAATTTTTTTTTGTTTTCCTATCTTCAAAAAACAAAACCTGTCCCTCTGTTGATTTGATCGCGAATGAATTCACCGGCAGCAAAATAGTTGAATCCGTGTGGCTCGAACTCTTTCATCAACATTCGGGCCACTGTGCCTTTTCCGCTGCCCGCGGCTCCTGTCAGCAAAACTCGATACATTTCTGAAATTCAACCATTAATTCAAATATAACGCAGAATCTACATTGAAAAAAAAGAGTTCATGTTGAATAATGCGAAAAGTATCAGAAACTTAGCTCAGTTTTCTGAAAATGATTCATTAAGTGATAGGGTGGCTAAGGAGAAATGAGCGTCTTTTTGATTACTTTTCGCTTATTCCAACGTGTAGAAGCAATATTCATAATTCGAAATATCATGTACCTACGCATCGTTTAATGTATATTTTATCTATTTTTACTTCGCCTTCCCACAAAAAAACTCTCACAATAAGCTCCACAACATTTTAGTTGATAACCACTTTAAAGTAATTATTCAAGAAACGCAACTCTGCGGTATGATTTCATTTCACCCTTTTTACAATTTTCGCCGACGGAGCGTTATCCATTCAGTGTCAGCAAAGAAAACAGCGCTACTATGACCAAAACGACTGCTTTCGAGAATAAAAAACATCGGATCCGAAGATACTTCGTGCCAAATTCTTTCGATGGGGTTCTCGTTAGTCTTTTTTTTTAAAGTTTGAAAGAGCTGCCACCAAAAAAGCGCTTGTCTTATTAGCCATCCTAGTAAAACTCAGAAAATGTCTCGCAAGAACTAGAATGTAAAGTCTGGACCAGGAAATACATACATTGAACAGAACAAAAAAGAAGTTGAAAAAGAGGCGTCCGGAAGATAAGATCATAAGACACGAGCCCAAGGATTGCTCGGCGCCACGAGTTTTTATAGAAGTTTACACACTGTGAAGAAAAAGAACCGCCGCGTTTCCGCGTGATGCCATCATGATAACTCGGCCGAAACAAACGCTAGTCACACGTCGGAACTTTTTCATTTAAGACTAAATTCACCACTCATTGACCGGTAAGAAAAAAAAAGTAACTTCGAGTCTTAGACGTCTTACTGCATCCGTGTATTATTATTATTTTGTTTTTCGTAAGGTTTCGAAAAATAACTTTGAAAATATAATTTACAGATCTGTGAAAAGAAAATTAGTTGTAAAAGCCGATATATATAGCGTTTCAAATTTTAAAAAAATAAAGAGAAAATTCAAAATTTACAGCATCTTACACACTTTCGACTACCGGAAAAAATATCAAGATATAAAAAAAAACGGTAACGACTGTTAAAAAAATATTGAAGCAGACAACTTTAACAATGGCGTGTTCATC